AAAAGTACTTTGGTCATTGTTTTGCAGGCCACCAGTAATGAAACTCACAAGGCACAAAGCGAAACAAATCACACTCTTCTCACCCCCGTCTTCGAAGCGCAGACACTTCCTCTGCCTTCACCTTCTGCTCACGTCTTGCTTTCGCCTTCCTCCTTGTCTGTGATGGTCTCTGTTGTTTGCCCCTGATATTGCCAATAAGCTCTGACAGCCTTTTTTGTGTGCCGTTTTTTGTTTCCCTTAAACAAATTTTGTCATAAGTGTTAATAGAAGCATTATTTGCTAAAACTTTACGTCTTTCGGATTTGTATATGCTATAACATAACAAACTAATTTCTCCCGTTGATTTTTCTAGTCACTCGTCCAGATCAAAAAATTGATTCTTAAGATACGAGGCTCCAAATTTAATATGAACAGACTTCGGATCTACATTATCGTTGTTTAGTATTTCTCTTCTCTTTATCAACAATTTCTGTTCTTTCAGTTGCTCCTCTTTGTTCAGGGAATTTGAAAGAAACACGCGATACGCTTTACCGTTATATTTTGGTTCGTATAACTTGAGCATTGATGACCGCGCTAACATTTTTTCTACAGTGTAAATATCTGAGAACTTTACTAATAATTGTCTCGGCTTCAGTCTGGTTGGATCAAATTTACCTAGGTGGCGGAATCCCGATACTCCTACGGAACTCAAACCCAGATTTTCAATAACTCCCAATATGTTTGCTTCTTCATGATCTACATTTCTTTCCTTGTGGGATTTTGAGCGCAAGAACCATTTAAATCCTTTTCAATTTTAAATTCCGGAATACCACTGACTCTAATTTTGACTTCATTTTCACTCAAGGATTTAACAGAATCAACAGCAGAAGAAAACTTAGCTTCGAGATTTGGCGCGGAAGGCTGGCTCAACGCACCAATCGCGGCCTTCACCTCCTCAACTGATGTCTTCAGCTCAAGCAGTTCCTCTGATATAGATGTTGATTCTTCACACATATTTTTCTTGGCTGCTGGAATACATACGTCGCAAAGAAAAATAACATTTTTTGACCTCTGCAGAAACTTGTAGTCGTCCATGCTGTATCCAACAAATCCACTGTGCACCCAGTATTGACAGCTTTTGCACATAATCCAAATATCTCTGCCATGATTGCAGCAAATAGAGCAAACCTATGAAAATTGGAAGAATGGTCAAAAAATAGCCTTTTCATTTCAATGAAGATAAATGTGTACATATGATAATCTCAATTGGAGGATCAAATCATGAAACAAGATCAAATGAACTTTACATAAGCAACTTGAAATGGTAGGAGAAGAAAGAGACCTTTGAGTGATCATTGATAGTAAACTCTCCTTTGACTCTCATATTTTTGCGAAAATTGAAAAGGCAAATTCTATCATCTCAGTATTTAAGAAAAAATTCATTAAAATGACAAAACCTGAATTTGTAAATGTTCATAAAGGCCTCATAAGGCCTCATTTGGAATTCTGTAATCAAGCCTGGTACCCGCAATTAAATAAAAATACAAGATTAATCGAAAATGTGCAACGGCGAACGACACGAATGGTCAAGGGCTTCGTCCTTAGTACATTGACAATGTTATTGTCAGTGTACTAAGGGCTGGTACACTAAGCTACAATGAAAGGTTAAAGAAACCAGAACTACCGTCAGTTGATGACCGCAGAAGGCGAGGAACAATGATCGAAATGTTCAAAATAGAAGAAATTTTTGTTAAAAAGTATTTTTCAAACGTTTTCACAATTATGTGCATCGTCAGGATTTTTACAATAAACTAATCTAAATGACGATAAAACATCAATTTAAAAATGTTATTCACAATAATTCACATACGTTTTGGTTCTAAGCCATCATGTTAAAAAATTAGCCAAACACAGTTGACCTCTAAATTACTATTAAGAATAAAATACTTTTAACCTCTAAAATTAAATAAACAGTTTTAATTTAAATTTTCTGGAAGTTTCTGAGTCATAATTTTGAATTAGACATTTACGTTTTAAATGAAAAACCAAAACTATTTTGGGACTAAATTTTCAGAGTTAACTCCCTGTTCCTAAACTCATCGCGCGTGTTCAAGCCCGGTTTCCCTTTCTAGATGTGTATTGCCTCTAGTGTTAACAATTTTGTTTGGTTGCTTGTTCTATTTATAATTTACCAACTAAGATCTGCGCTTTTTCCCTCAAGTTGGCATTGCTGAAGGTGGAGGCCTACCGGTGAGTCGGCTTTCTTATGTTGCTCAATTCTAGTGGTCAAATGTCGAACAGTTTGTCCGACATAGGTGGAAGTGCATCCGCTACATGACAGTTTATGAACCATTCTTGACTTGAGGTCATTAGAAAATAATGACTTCAGTGATGCTAAACATGATTCTAGTTTTCTTGTGGTGAAAACCACTTGAACATTAGTTAATTTTCGTAACCTTCTTGCAAAATATTGGCTCTGGTTATCTCTATATTGCACCATCAGCATTAGGGGTTTCACATCCTTTGGTGATTGAGTTGACAAACACCTCTCACTATCCAGGGGCTTGCCCTTACCCTCGATGATTTTGCACTAGGCATCTGAAGCCACTTTTGCGGACCAATTTTCAGGGTACTGATTTGTCAGCCATTGCGCCCTATTAGTTTCCATAGCCTTATCAAATTGCTCCAAGCTAGATGTACTCCTAAAAATCCTGTGTACAGTGCCTTGGATAACACTAAGAATATACTGAGTTGGGGCGCAGCTTCTATAGTTCAGTATTGTGCAACAAGGATTCCAGCTTTGATTCATACATTTGTTTCCTCATTATGCAATTACCAACCCCCTTATCAAAAGGCACAGCCAGCAATCCATTATCTTTGAAATAATTTCTCGTTTTTTTAACGGCATTGTCTCTTGGGGTTTGCCTTACGTTTTTTGCATATGCCTTTGCCGCGGCTTCTATTTCACATAACGATTCACCAGGTGTTTTTTGATTTTTTAAATGTGAGAGGAAAATCTCGATATCCGGCAAAAGTGTGTTTCGTTAAATTTGTCTCTAATGGGATGCTTCGGGCCCATTGATAGCACTTCATATACCCATCCAGGCTGTTCAATGTTATCAAGTACCCTAATTGATCGCTCATTTCTCCTCCCAAGAAGTTTATCTTGTCTCTCGGACAGTTTTTCTAACTTTTTTCTATGGTTTTCTGATTCTGTCTTTAAGCTTGCCTCAACTTGACGCCTCACGAAGCGGAAAATGGATGCCCACCACTGTTTTTCAATTTCTTCTTGCACCAATGATCTTGCTTTCATTAGCATCTCCTCGTACCTTTTCCTATCCTGATTTGCCCTAGAATTTTCAGTCTTTGGTATTTTCAATTGAAAAATATACCCAGCTTGGTCCAAAAAAACTTGGTTCTCAGGGACCTTAAACATCAAAAATTCCGGAATTAGATCGTTTTTCAGACATTTTATCAGAAACTTCAGTCTATGTACAGTTACTTGAACTTTTCTTAAAGAATTTTAAATAGTTTAACACAATTTTCCAGGTTAGTTTTTTTTTCAAAAATTGTCTGAGCCAAACAGCAGGCAAAAGTTCTTTGGTCATTGCTTTGCAGGCCACGAGTAATGAAACTCACAAGGCACAAAGCAAAACAAATCACACTCTTCTCACCCCTGTCTTCGAAGCGCAGACACTTCCTCTGCCTTCAGCTTCTGCTCACGTCTTGCTTTCGCCTTCCTCCTTGTCTGTAATGGTCTCTGTTGTTTGCCCCTGATATTGCCAATAAGCTCTGACAGCCTTTTTTCGTGTGCCGTTTTTTGTTTCCCTTATACAAATTATGTCATAAGTGTTAATAGATGCATGATTTGCTTAAACTTTACGTCTTTCGGATTTGTATATGATATAACATAACAAACTAATTTCTCCCGTTGATTTTTCTGGTCACTCGTCCAGATCAAAAAATTGATTCTTAACATACGAGGTTCCAAATTTAATATGAACCGACTTCGGATCTACATTATCGTTGTTTAGTATTTCTCTTCTCTTTATCAACAATTTCTGTTCTTTCAGTTGCTCCTCTTTGTTCAGGGAATTTGAAAGAAACACGCGATACGCTTTACCGTTATATTTTGTTTCGTATAACTTGCGCATTGATGACCGCGCTAACATGGCTACGAGTAATGAAACTCACAAGGAACAAAGCAAAACAAATCACACTCTTCTCACCCCTGTCTTTGAAGCGCAGACACTTCCTCTGCCTTTAGCTTCTGCTCACGTCTTGCTTTTGCCTTCCTTGTCTGTAATGGTCTCTGTTGTTTGCCCCTGATATTGCCAATCAGCTCTGACAGACTTTCTTTGTGTGCCACTACCAATCGCAGAGATTTCAGCTACAGATTGGAACATGTTGCCAGGAGCAGTATTTGACTCGAAGACCTTGAACGCTTTCAAGAACAACCTGGACAAACATATTAATAAATTTGAGACTAATTAATCGAAAAAGAGTACATCATGAGCTGATTGATAGAGGCGACAAAACGCCTAAAAGATCAGAAAGGGAACTGAACTGAAGAGTCATTCTTTGATGCCAACCTCGACCTCGTCCCAGGCGGTACTAATGATGATAAAACTACTTTCGAAGAATTTTTTTAATTATAGAGCCAAGAGAACAGAAGCGCAGCTTTATATAATAATATGATAGACCCGTAGCCTCATATCAGGTTAGTTTTTTTGAGTCATTTTCAACTCTGCAGGTTTTTTCTGTGGTGTTAGTTTTCTCATTCTGGATGGCTTGATTCCCAACCATCTGACTGTTTACTTCTATCCACATTCTACTTTACTCTTCCATACCTAGAAATTTCCGGGGATTTTGTTTGGATAATGTGATGAAGAGACTACTGACTGCAACCTCGGTCACTATGATACTTTCGACCTTCTGATTAACAGAAGGACACCTACTGTAACTTATCTTTTAAAAGCAACTTCAGGTACCATGATAATTTCTAACCATCTGATTTATGAAAAAATGATTCAAGTGGCTGGCTTATTTCAGTGAAATAAAATGCCTTCTGACGAAGAGCTGAAAGCGAAAAGGCTCTCCATGATTGCAAAAGTTCGGAAACAGAAGTCAGATTTGGAACAGCTGGTTAAAGTCACACCCGCAGTATCATCAACAGTTGCCGGGGAATCGGCGGGGAGCGATGTTATCCCTATGTCGTCATCATCGGCGCCTAATCCTCCCACAAGCGCACCCGTGTTGAGCTGGTTCATGAACAACTCCAGCTCTGACAAGATCAGTTGTAGGGATCCTAGACGCGCAGCTAGTGCCAGTGGTGTTGCCGGTACCAGATATCTTCCCCCATCTTCACACCTACCGTCAATTGCTGCTGCTAGTGATGCTTCTGCTGCTGCCCTTTCAAAGACGACTTCTTGTGTATGTGTACACTAAGCTTGAATTAAGTGAAATTGTACTGAACTTGGGCTTATTCATGAGTGTTGGTGGCCTTTTTATGCTTGTAGTTCAAATTTTTTTTTCGAAACAATTCAAACAAGCTGATCTAAGCAGTATGATTATATATATTGACTAGGTGTAAACATGGCTAAAAAAACTCAACTAACGGACATGCCGGATTTGAATAAAAAAGTATGATTATATATATTGACTAGGTGTAAACATGGCTAAAAAAACTAAACTAACGGACATGCCGGAAAATAACAATAAAAAAGAACAGTTAACGGTCTAGCAATGGGCGCTTTTCTTGCAGTAATTCAAGCCATTTTTTGGCTCAAGGAATACGGAACTGCATTTATGAAAGACTTACCAAAATGTAATTCGAGGCAATCCAGCGCAACTAATAGCTGCCAAACTGTGCAAAATGTCAGGAGGCACGAATATTTTCGACTAACAGAAAAGGAAAAACATTCTTGCCATCCCTCAAAATTTTCTTTGCACCCGAACTAAATTCCAAATTGGTATGGCCACTACATAAAATGCATCAAATGAAGATAACTCCATCTGTTGGAGCAAACAAAACATGTTTTGAATGATAAGTTAATTTGTTCACAAGTAAACTCAATTAAAAACGCATGCGCTCTATACTTTGTATAAGGGGGTGCAGATCGCTACGCAAAGTTCAATTTATCGACCACTCCATAAGCGCTATTGTAGAGGAAGGACGGCTAAGATAAATTAACATTACGACGATGCATTTAATGCTGATTTATGACTTCATTGCTGATATATATGCATTTTTATATCGCTGGTATGGCCCTATCCAGCTTGTGCACTTACCGTAACTAAACGGAAGGGCCCCTTTTGTAATTTAGTTTTTATTAAAATGCATGCTAATTTTCCCATAATTTATTCTTTTCACTGACCCGCAATTTATAAAACTAAATCATGATTAATTCAATTTTCATACGATACAGTCGCTTTTCAGCTATTGCGAAGAATTCATTCGGGTTCGAAAAGGAGGCATATGGTGTGTCATTTGCAAAGCTTACATCCATGTCTCATGTAGTGGGCTACAGCAGCAAATTTTATTACGATGGGTTCTCCTGCATACAATGCATCCCGAGAACTTTGCAAAAGGGTCCAACTCCACCAACAGACCACCAAGCACAACCGCCATTACAACTGAAGAAGAAACATCACTGGCTACAACCGAAACAAACGTACTGCCCAACGCAACTCAATCTAATCCATCGCCCCGTAGCAATCACTACAGTCCCCTCTGACCCCTGGAAACTTATCGACCAAGAACTTGAATTTAAAATAAACGACATGTACAATTTTCATAAACTGGAAACTGCGCTAAATAGTTCTAAGCAAGAACAAGCCCGGCTTCGAGTTCATAGAATTACTGAGCGAGAAGCTGCTGTCATTAGTAGAAGAAACACCAAATTCTAACGTCGCAATGAAAACAGCAATGATTCTCCCACATCTGCTGCTGCCCAAAACTAAATCAGAAACAAATGGATCTAATTCAAAAACTCTCAGCCGCCGCATAATTCTATGGAAACAAGGCCGACTAGACGAACTTATCACTGAAGCGAAAGCTCTCCAAATTAGACATCCAAAACAGAAGAAGTGCGAAATAAACGAGGAAGTTAAACAAATCGATGAACTAATGAGTAAGGCAAAATATCTGCCGCCATTGGCTACCTTTTATACAATAAAACAAAAGGAGTTATTCCCCTGAACGAAGTCATTGAAGGAAAAACAGTCCTTAGTATCTTCAAAGAAAAACACATCGAAGCCAAAACAGCGAACACTGACTACTGACTATATAATTGAAGTTAGTGAAGACAATGCCATACCACCCCTCTATATTCGAACAAATAAACGCCAAGACATTCTGATACCTCCGGACAAAAATTCAGGGGTGAGGATCATTGGTATAGGCGAGGTTCTGAGACGAATAATTGGCAAAACAATCACCCAATGTATAAAAGCAGACCTTAAAAATGTCGGAAAAAATTTCCAACTCTGCTTAGGCCAGAAGTGTGGAATCGAATATGCTATCCACAGCTTGAGGAACGACTTTGAGAAACCGGAAACGGACAGCATACTACTTATTGACGCAGAAAATGCCTTCAACTTGCTCAATAGAGAACTTGCTCTAAAAAATTGTAGAAGTCCTTTGTCCAGCACTACAACATGCGCTGGCCAACTCATATAAACATCCCTCAAATTTATGTCAATATCACAGTTTTGACTATTACCGTTGGCACAACGCAAGGTGATCCCCTTGCAATGGCTATGTACGGAAAAGGGATAATCCCTTTGATCGAGTTCCTGGATACACTCACCTAAGACATAATGAAATTCGTGATACCTTTGCGACACTCCTGGACGAAGTATGCCATGATGTTGAAATAGAGCCGAAACTTCAATCGTTGCAAGGCGAAAGCTTTCACAACCAAACAACCACTACCGAAGTCAACGCTCGATTTGACATCAAGGCAAATGGACTCTGGTGAGGCCGATTCAGCCGAACATTTTCGATTTAAAAGTTTTCAACCCCCATGCTAAATCCCGCCCTAAAACTATATCTGATGCCTACAAATATGAGAGTATTAAAACATTAGAATACCAACAAAGAGTTATGGATACAGAACACAGCAGCTTTGTTCACTAATTTTTGCGTGTACCGGAGGAGCAGCACCAGGCTCTACAAAAACCTTTCAGAAACTAGCAGAGAAACTAAGCGAAACGAACGAATCATACTCGAACACAATAAACTTTATAAGAACAAAGTAAGTTTTGCACTTCTGAGGAGTTTTGCACTTCTGCATCAGGGGGTAGAAAAATTTAAAAATACATCCAACATAGACAATTTCATCTGTGCTATAATCGAGGAGGGTAGATTTCATTTGACAATTCTCGCGATGCTTCAAAATTGACTTGATTTATTCATAAATTGTTGCCGATGTATTTATATAGCGTCGTTATGGCCCTATCTTACCTGTGCATGGACCATCGCTTGACGGAAGGGCCCATTTTTTTATCCCTTTTTTGATGGAGAAGCTTGAAAGAGCTCAATGAAACTGTCTGCGAGTTCTGAAACGGCAAGTTTCTCAAGTCAGCTACCTTTGTGCTAGCCTCAGTTGTAACTAAGACGAGTTGAGCAATGAAACAACCGAGCTTGAGCCTTGCTTGGCTCAAACCTCAATTGCTGATCACGAGCTACTTGACGCTATCACGGCTGATGCAGAATACGATCAAATAATCGATCAATGTCAGGATACACAGAAGGCTGCTCGCCAAACTCTGCAAGCCGCAAAGAGAATGTTAGCCGCATCAAGTCAGCCTATCAACCTTGTTGCAATCGCGCAGATTGAACCTGCAAGGATTACACCAAGATTGCCTCAGATCAATATGCCTAGCTTCAGAGGCAGTTTCACTGCCTGGCTAAGCTTCATTGATCAATTTCTATCGACTGTCCATGCCAATGATGAGCTGTCACCGGTTCAGAAGTTGATGTATCTCAAGAGTTGCTTGCTTCTAAGCTCATCATGAACTTAGAGACGACAGAAAGCAACTACGAGGTAGCGCTTCAAATGGTAGAGCCAAAATAAAAAATTAATCAAGTCATCCTTCGAAAGCTTTTAACGGTTTCACTGCAGTTCGAACGGAGAATGTGTATCAGCTTTGTCAGCTACACTCAGTCTTCAATAACAATTCGCAGTCCTTTAAGGCACCCGGAAAGTCTGTAGAAAACAATTTGTGGCATGAGAACTGCTAACGATGGGACTGAAGCTCTTGTTTTCGATCAACGCATGGTGTTCTTAGAGAACAGAGTCAGGTCTTTAGAGGTGGTTCAAGGATCTCATTTCAGACCCAATAACTTTGAGCGTGAGCAGTAAATGCTCTTAACAGAAAAGAACCGATAAGAATGGCTTCTCTTTACCACAGTGTAAAGTTCAAATTTGCCAAGAGTGATATCCAATAGGCTGTGTGCGAAATACAGATCGATGATAACATCAGAAAGAAAGAAATTTGTGACCAACAATAGGATGTGCTTGAATTGTGTCTACCAGTCACGGCATCCAGCAATGTCCTTCAACATCGCTGTGTAAGACATGTCAAAAGAAGCATCATACATCTCTTCACGGCAGTTCTAGCCAACCCTAGTCTCATCTCGCAGTGACGATAGATGCTCTTCAGATCAACCGAACTGGAACTATCACAGTTCTTCCAACGGCAAATGTCAAAGTTTGATCTCAGAACGGCTGAGTTCATCACATAAGGGCGCTCGATGACAATTTGTGCTCAGACGAACGTCATCACACTACAGGCCATGCACCGGCTTGCAATCAAACCTACAGGAGCTCCAGATCGCATAAGTAGAGTTAATCAGAAGAACGCTATGTCTACCCATGGTCGAATGAATCTCACAATTCTACCAAAGTCTGGTAACAGTTTCCTGTGTGGTGTTTGAAAACATCATGGATCTCGAGCATCCAAATACACAAATCGCAGCCACAGAGCTATGAAAGGTCAGCCACTGCAACTTAGTAGTTCCAACTTTCGACAAGCCCGACACAATTGAATTCCTGCTTGGACAATCCATCTACACACACATTGTGAAGTCGCGGAATGTCAAGAAAGGAACTATAAGGCTAACCGACACGATCCTTGTTTGGACAGTCTAAGTTGTCGCTGATACCGATCACAGAGTCACAACACGAAGACACTCGCCAAGATATGAAATCAACTTCCTCGTGAGCCAGTCCACCACATCTCCAGAATCCCAACACTCACCCAACGAGCTTGAGTGTATCCGACAATTCGACCAGACTGCGACGTATGGCCCACACGGACGAGCTATGATGAGATTGCTCATCAACAAAACACAGTGGACCTATGGTGAAATCAACCATGAATAATTGCCCGATATTGGTCACTCAGCACGCAAAGCTTTCCGGTAATTTCTAATGAAAGGAAGCTACATCAGGAAAGCTTATGAAAGGAAGCTACGACTGGCACGGAGATTAAAATTCTCCAAGTCAACATGAAAAAGGCAAAGTTCTTGATCTCAGGCATCGGTCCTGATACCTCAAGGACTCTGGGAAGTACCCCCCTTGCACTGTCTGTCGTAAAGGTGTTGAAAGCATTTCAATTGCTTGCTCTCAGTCCAGGTTGTCGGATCACAAAATTTCCTGCGGAATATAGGCGGCTGGTATCAAACCCAGAATTTATTTGACCCAGATGCACTGGATGGTTACGCCCCATCGACTGTCGCCCTTCGAATATGTTTGAAGTTGATGAGATAACGCTCAATATTGAGCCAAATTTTTGCCACCTGGATGACATGCTGTGCTGACGGGGACTGTGATAGTACAATCGCTGCCCGATGTTGCTCGGCCTGGTGTAGGTTTAGGAATCTACTCCATGTAATAACTTCGAGGCACATCTCGTTTAAAACAGCTGCAAAAATGTTCTCCAGTGTGCGATCAACGATGCTGTACGGAAGTGAAACTTGGGGTCCGAATGTATGACATCTGCAACGGCTGACCGTGCAATGATTCTCTGGATCTGCGGTGTTGAGCCTGGTGGTCATGAGCTTCATCTTTTTTCCTGATAAACTCGGCGTGTGTGACGTTATCAACGTCCTTCAAAGCAGACGCTTCAGCTGGTTTGGTCATGTTGAACACGCTCCGTTTGCTTCATGCTACAAAATGGCCAGTGAAATCACGATCTCATCCATCAAAAATTGTGGGAACCTAGAAAGAATTTGTTAGATTGTGTGAAAGTATGATATCAAGGAACGTTGCCTTACACATACTGATCGGGAAACCGTTAATCATTGAGAGCTGCAGTTCGACAATGCATGTTACCGCCAACCCCATCTGACGAGACAGAAACATCACCATAATAAAAAAAATTGATATGTTGATGATGGACATGGCGATATGAATGCTCGACCCAAGGTATATAAAAACAAATTTAGTTCCTCAAACTAGAACTAGTTAAGTTGTATCTAAAATATATCCAAATAATATCTACATATAACTATGTTCCTCGAACTGGAATTAAGTTATGGTTCCAACCATTTAAGAAATGGGGAGGAACTCTGCATTATGGTGTGTTTTATCTTTTTTTTCCACGCAAAATCTTGTACCACAAATAATTATTGGAAAGAATCGCGTGATATATCATATTAAAGACCTTTCAATCGTGATTTGAATGACATAAGAATTTTTTTCACATTCGAGGAAAACCCGGTTTGAAATTTTTGAACTAATATGGCGTGATCGTGTAGGCTTACAATAGCTTATTTAAGCTGGCTTTAAGCCGTGAAAAGTTAGTTGTGCTCAAATAAAAGTAGTGCGCCATTTTTCAGTAGTGCGCCTAAGTAGTTTTTTAGCGCCATTCTGTAAACAGAGGTTAAAAATTGCAAAAGGTGAAATTTTAGCAGCGTATTATAGATCTTTTTTCTTTCACAAGCTAGCTTGCAAGGATTGTTTTGTACTAGGGTCCACTTTTTTTCCAATGCTTATCTTAATAAGTGCTCATATTGATGTCTTTCTTTCTCCAATAATATTTTTCATAAATGTGCCTTCTGATCTGTAGTAACTCATTTGAAGTTGCTTTCACGGAGTATAGCTTGTTTTCTTTTCTTCATGTGTTTTAATCCCATGAAAGCCTTGATAACTTCTATTACCAAGTGTGAATTTGGATTTTTTCAATGGTCGAAATCACTCTAAATTATACCGGTTCGTTATCAATGTCTTCGGTACACCAGATTCCCTATTTTCTCAAAAGAGCCTATTTTGACTACTTGTGATCTATTTGTCAAATAAGAATTCAACAGTTTCTTTTATGGTACCCGTAGTTCGCAGTTCTCAATCTTTTTTGTAGAATTGTATCATTTGAAAATATCAAACGCTTTTTTGAGATCTATAGTTGCACGTGGTACATAACCGTGAAATTCCCAATCATTTCGCATGATTTCAATGAAGTTTACCAAAACATCTTTTGTTGTCAATTTAGGTCTGAACCCAAATTGGTTTTGAGTCAAAACACCATGTTTATCTACGAAATCAATAATGCGTTTATGGAGAAACTTTTCGACAATTTTGCTGAAAACTGGTAAGAGATATTGGCCTATAGTTTTCTGGATTTCTTTTGTTCCACTTTTTTGAACTGATGTTATTATGGCTACTTTAAGACAGTCTGGAAAAAAATTTTAAGCTAAGCATTTGTTTTTAATTTTGTCAGTGTTTTTATTATTGCCATTTCTATCTTTTTTATGACAAAAGTATTTAACCCAGAAAAATCACAACTGTATTTTGTTTGAAAGTTTCGGAAAGTCGAGGAGATTTCTTTTTCGCTTGTTTTCATGAGACAAAAACTATTAAGTAACCGTTTCTTATGAAGTTTTTGAGATGATTTAATTTTCTCAGCTATTTGATGTCCTATATTAGGAAAAAATTGATTCAAATTTTCGATTTCTCCTTGCCTTGGCTCAGGTTAACAGATTTTTTGCTTTTACCGATTCTCTCAAAGTATTAAAATTGTAATTTCACCGAAGAGAAATTCCCTCCCCTGCGATCGGCCTCTACGAATGTGTCGTGATTAACAGTCGCGTTAGCAAATTAATTTATTTAATTTTTTTATCTTGTACCTATGATGCGTATCGTAGTACTGTCGACCCATGTGGGTCTCTTTACTTCCTTTTGATTTCTGCTATAATGCCATTAAAATTAGTTCTGCTTTACTGCAACATACTAAAAGATGTCACCGAGAACAACTGGACGAATTTCAACATGCAAGTTGCCGCTTTTACAATTTTAAACTAATTTGTATGTAGCAAATTTTCAGGAGGGCTGGGAAACTAAAAAATATCTGGGAAACTGAAAAAAAAGCCCTAGTTGCGCATCATTCCTATGTTTTGGATTTGGTAGGCATTTCATGTTTCTTCTTAGAGCTCGTCTACTCCTACCCCCCAACGATCAAGGAGTCATACAGTCATCTCGTCTGCCGGCATTCCTCCACCACCCCCTCCTACCTCTCTAGACCAGACCAGTACTCTTTTGGTTTCACAGCAAGTGCAGAATACTGGAGCTAACAACCAGCATCAGCAGCCAGTGCGCTCTTTGGTGGAGCAGCAGCAGGCGGCATGGAATCACGCAAATTTGATATCTGACTGTTTCTTTGTCACTCAGAACTCTGCCTATGGGAACTTAATCATTCCCGTTGTTCCCCGAATCAAAACAGAGCAGCTGACACCACACACAGAATTTTCAGCTCTTTAGTTGTTGTTCTGTCGCTGAAGTTTGTCGGTTGATGTGCAAGTAGCCCAGAAAGTGCTGAGGAAGTGCCAAATCAGCCTTCAAAATATTGTTTTACTCAGCTGAAATTTTAATATTCAAATTTCGAAAAGTAAATATAGCCTAATAAACAGATTTTCGCTTTTCCTGCCTGCTTTACTCGCTCCAAATTAGACTACGATAACAAAAACACTTCAAACAAATTGCGAAATTGAGAAATAAATTATGATATTTTTTATTATGATAGACTCACGGCTGATAGGCTATTAGTGGTACCTAGATTATTGGGAGACGTATCCCAATATAAAGTTCCTCTCCATTTCAATGGTCGCAACAAATGAACTTTTTGTTCTTTCCAGTGTTAATTGATTATGATTAAATTTGATTATCAATTGTTCTGGAATTCTGTTTTTGTGAACGTTCTCGCAAAACGCGTGAGTATCAATTAAGTCCAGTGATTTAAATTGTTTTGATTGTAGTAACCTCGCTGACTCTAGACGATATTGTGTTAACTTTTTTCGGCCTTAATGGTTTCGTCTCGTCCCCAGTCTAGTGTTATTGGCCCCTGACGGGATAGGTAGGGCATGCCATGTGTGCGGGTTACTTAAACGACGTTTTAACTACGGGCTCATCTGAGCGTTTCTTCGTTTTGTTGTGCTGTTGAGAGGTCAGCATCCTCCGTCAGCTAATTAATTCTTGAAGGGAGTTTAGCTCTGCCGTTCCTACATGCTATGTGATCTGAAGGAATTCAGCTGCAAGCAGGGGGCCAGTCCATAGAATGAGGATGTTGAGATCTGCATGTCTGCTAGGACATTTGAATAAATGGTGCAAATCATGGGATCCAAGATTACAAACGATGCAGATATTTAGCACTTGGGTCAATCCTGTAGCTATGGAGGATAGAAGCTATTAAGTAGCTATTCAGGATAGGTGAATAGCCAGAACGGAGCTGTGCAAGCTGCACCTAGCCTCACGTGCGAGTTTCTTTTCTTAGTAAAATTTTAAAGTTGTTTATTCAATTGTTGAAGAAATTTTAACATTTCATTGAAAGCATAAGCTTGCTCTTACTTAGTTTTTGTAATCAGTTTTTCTTGCAAATTTGTTGCTCAACATTTGCTTGGAAGTAATTAATTCCAAGTCTTGTTCACACGTTTTTATTCCTCATAAAAAGCAGAATTGATTGTTGATAGAAAGCATTTGAGTTTCAATCAAAATTTATGGCATTTGTGAAAAAAATTCATTTTTATGGCATTTGGGAATTATAACATTTGGGAAGTTACCAGAATTATTTCTGTTCACTTCTGAAGGTTTCATTTTTGAAGCAGACGGCCGAAACTTGAAGACGACATTTGAGATAATTGAGGAAATGAGCCATAAAGTAAATTGAGTTTCAGAAAGTTATGGAACTGACTCGTGGTGAGAAGTTAGCATTGGTAAGTGTTTGCTTCAAATTTGCCAATGCTTCAATGATTCATAAATGATGCAGGTCGTTATAATGGCCCTTAACTTTTTAACCTGGCTAATAGCTTCTGAATTACCACACGAGGCTAATTGGACAATTTTCTTCGAATTCTTATTAAAACCATCGATATAACTTAATTGAAACAACTGAGCACAGTAATATGCCTTCTCTGAGCCTCAGCTTTTTTTGAGCATCAGTTTTTGCATCTGAGGTTGTTTTCTTTTGGGGTTGCCATAAAACGGCCAAGTTGAGAAAAGATTGAGTGTAATACTTGTAATAATAATCAAAGTAACTGATATAACAAAAGTAAAAAACACATTAGTCACATTTATGAGGTAATTTTCTCCTAAATGAAGAAAAGTTTGTATTTTTTATACAATATTAAGGTATCAACACTTTTTGGTAGCTAGAAAAGTTAGAGCTCTTATGCACTAAGCGGCTCAAAAAGATATACTAAATCAATGTTTCGATTTTCAAATAGTTTAATTTGTGGCACATTAAAGTAGAAGTTGGATTAAATACGAACAGCAAGAAATTTGAATCAAATTATTTGTCAACCTTTTGAAATGCATAGTTTTAACTCAAAAAAGACGAAACAAACTGACTCTGGGCTGTGGTTGCCAGTTACTTTTTACATGACCAATAGAAATTGAGATCACACGTCGGACACCTACTACACATCACAACGGAAAAGATCAGATAAAAACAACAAAATGTTCTCGAAAAATCCATCCTGCCATATTTGTGAATTTTTGCATACTCATTTCATGCAAATATTTGACGGGATTCTTGAATGTTGTGTTGTTTTATCTGACATTTTGAGTGATGTGTTGTGCTGTCACGTGTACACTGCTTGCCCCTCACCTCTCCCTCGTTTTTTTTTGCTGCCGCAGGAAAGCGAGTTCCAATGGTTGCTGCTGGAGGAAATGCCCAACTTAGTGGTGCAGCTGCAGAAGATACTCGCCGACTGCTCCTCCAATATCTTCCCCAACAGCGCCGGTTGGTAGGTCGCTATTCATTCTAGTACTGTTACTTATAGCTATGCAAGTATGTTCATACAGCTTTCAAACAGATTCGGAATTTAAAGGGGAAGCGGCGGTATTGCCTAGTATATCTCGTATGGATATCCTATAGAGTAATTTCGGATGGCGTAAACCGTGTTTGTCACACTATCTATCTTCGGCCGGATAGGTTCTGACAACTTTTTAGTCCAATGCTGATCTTAATCTAATTTCCTAAGTCTCAATAGCTGTTTCAGCTGGGAATAAGCTGTTTGTTTCAGAAAGCGTCGATGAACGTAGTGAAGACTCTATATAGGATCTCATGTTTTTTTTTCAGGATAAGTTTAAAAATTTGTTTAGTCTCATTTGGTTTTCAGATTTCCCAGCGGAATAAAAAAATTTGATCTAGCTTTCTGAAATTGAGAGAAGTGTTCTGGAAAGTCGAGATTTTTTCATGAAGCGATCGCTCAAATACTGACTGGGATTAAACGATTCCGTTTTCTTTTTAGATAACCTCACATCAACTCCGGGAAATTACGTCTTCAATAACCGCAACAAGTAAGTTAAACCGTTGAGCTTTTTTGAACTTCTTGCAAGAAGCATTAACCCAAATCGCAAAAATACAAATGGCAAAGTCACTACTTTATGAACAAATACAATGATGGATGTTTCTACAAGAGTTCTTTACTACTTACTGGATCAGTTGAAACGGTCCTAAAGGTGTGTCCAATGTCCAAAAAACCAATATCACAAAAGACATGAACACACAAGTCATGAGTTCTGCTCGATGATTAACTTCTGCACATTGTCAATCTGATTAAAATACGCCTAGTGCAAGAATTCGAAGCAAGAAGCTGCCGTCAACAAGCTTTTGTAAATAAATTTTCATTCTGTTCTTCGTTATAGCTGAATTATTGAAAATTGATGTGGTCATCAAGTATACTTTACTTACATAATTTACTTTATACTAAAAATTTTACGAATTCTTGCACTGGGCTCTTACTGGTATTTGGAGGCTCTTACTAGTATTTGACAAATTAAGATTTTGAATTCACACTGGTTGCAATCAGGTTCCTTACTAGCTTCTTTTTCTGTATTGTGACAATAGAGAGATTGTTATATATACTGTTTTGAATAAACGTGAGAAGTTTTCCATGGGTTGTTACTAATTTAACAATTGAGATATATCGAGTGCCTCTCAAGCGAACCTCATGCATGTATTTAGTGCCTCTCAGGAGCACTTTATGATTATTGTCATTATTATGACCCTTGTTTGATTTATTGTTTTTATCATTTTTCTCTTCACTAAAAAAATCATCAAGAGGCTAAGTTCTGCATGGCTCAGAAACCGACTATTATGCTCTGGAGATATTCATCCAAATCAAGGTCCAAAAATGAGTCCCAGAAAAAACTACAAAGGCAACATCAAAGCCCTATGTCTAAACTGCCGAAATCTAAACAGGAAAAGAGGTGATAGTAGACAAATGCGAATATAATACAATTTGTGGATTCTCCAAGACATGGTTCAATAATTCAAATGAACTTGCAGACACTGGATAATGAACAGTTTACCGCATTTCGCTGTGACAGATCTGCAGAGGGCAGTGAGAAAAGCGGAGGCGGCAGATTCTCATTCCAACAACCCTAAATCCTAAGCTTTGCAAAGACCTAATTTTGATGCCTCTAACAAAACTGAATTTTTTGATGAACTTGCCACATCCATTGATATGCACAGCTCACTACAAAAGTTTGATAGTAATGGGAGATTACAACTGAACTATCTTGATTCTGGTTATAAAATCTGTCAACAATTCTAACGCCATACAACTTAGAAGTTGCGAACAAATCAACACCAACTCATTCAAAATCACTTTTTGCTTATACAGACCTAATTTCAACGGATCGAGACTAAAAGGCTCTGAAATTTGAACCACCGATCAAAACAGACCACTTAGCTGCATTTTTTATTACAAAGCTGAAAATTTTGAAAAAACAATACCTTTCAAGCGCACAATCTATGATATTTCGAAAATAATTAGAAAAGAATTTCAAGATGGCTCTACCACAAATTAATTGGGAAATTTTATCAACAAAACCTTCCAGAAGAGATATTTCAATTTTTCAACTCAAATCTAGTTGATTGCATAAAAATGTGCTCCAGAAAAAAAATTACTTGCGTAATGATAAACAAAAAATTTATCTCAATGATGACATATTTATTTCACATTTATTCAATTCAAAAACTTTCGAGCGTCAGAAATGGAATATCATAAACGGTTTGTAGAATTTCAAAAAAATCAGCAAATAAATTACCACTAATTAAAAACTCTTTTACAGACTCAATAACGAGCAATTTGAAAATGGCAATTTTACTAAATTTGACCAGGTCCATTTGATATTCCGGCATGGGCTCTAATAGTCGGCTGCAATAAAATATAAACTCACTTGGCTTTCTTAATAGACGAATACATAAAACAATGTTTCCTATGAAAATCAAAAAAGTACTTGCTACTCCAATATATAAAAAAGATGAACCAGAATAAGCAGAGAACTTTCGCCCAACATCAATAACAGGCGCATTATCATTAGTATTTGAAAAACTGTTGCATAAACAAGTAAATGAAAATATATTAAGCAAAAACTTACTAAGCAATACACAATACGGTTTTGTATCATCATACTATACTATGGATGCAATACTTTACTGTGCTCATTTCTTCCGAAACTGTATGGGAAGAATTCGAATGGATTGTTTATTGGCTATGGAGACGTATTAGAGAAACAAACACGTCTCCGTAGCCCTATTATGTTTTTAACTCAATAGATCATAAGTTGCTTAAAGTTAAATAGTGTGGGTTTCTCAGAATCGGCCATTGAATTGTAACTTAACCAGCAACATGCAACAAAAGACCATTGTAAATAACACAGAATAAGACTGGATATGACTCAATCCGTGTTTGCCTCAACGTAGTCTTAGGACTTTTAGTTTTCAACCTATACATAAATATTTCAATCAAACAATTACCCGATAATTGTAAAGTAGTTCAATATGCAGATGATACTTTAGTTTTATAAAATCGTCATAATGTTTATATTGCTCTTCAGCGTCTGAAGGAATCTTGTCAAAACCTTTCACTCTAAAAAGGCTATTTTACAAGACGTTACCTAAGACTGAACACTGCCAAAACAGCTGATTTTTTTCAGTAAGAAGCAGGGCAGAAGTGACCAAAATTAATTCAGTATACAACTAGATCATAATATTATCGTAGAAAAATCACAAGTAAAGTATCTTGTTGTCCTTGTTACCTATCTTATTTTCCAGGGCGAAGTAAAAATATCTTGAAAAATGGCTTGTGAAATTAAAACACTGCAATCAATTGAAAAACCTCTATCAATCAAGACTCGAATAATGATAATGAACGCATTAGTAATTAGTCATGTACACTTACCCAAACCACAAACTGAGCAGTCGCTCGAAAAGCAGCTTAGCTGGGTAATTATCACCTGCCGCAATAGAAAAAAATTCGATTTTTCATCTGATCTAAAGTTGAGTAAAAAAATACTATTAGTAACAATGTTCCTCGCTTAAAAGTTAGTATTTCATCAAATAAAACACAATATTTTACCAGCATATACAAGACTGAAATACAAAAACATTCGCATTGAAGGGCACAAAAGGAATGTTATGAAAGTTATGTTTCCCGGATTGGTTTAGTGGTCAATATATCCAACACTGCTTTTTCAGACGTTCGGTTTTGATTTGGAATCAAATCCTTGATATAGACTCTGATTTAATTTGCAATCGTTTCCTTTTCGAAACACAAAGTTAAATTGAAAAACCATTTAGTAGCCATTTTTACGGAAGATTCATCGGTGGCAACCTATATAAAAGTTTCTTGCAAGCTGTTTAAATTTAAATAGATTTTTTAAATTCATGCTTGAACTACGTCCCCAATATTTTTCTGTTCAATTATTATGCATTGTCTAAATAATTATCAACATGACTCACAGTTGTAAAATGATTTTTAGTTTCATTCAGCATTTTAAGTGTTTTTTTTTTTTAGTATTGAAAAGTGTAGGTAATTGGTGAATTATAATCCATCTCAAGATTGTTAAACATCGATAAACAGATTTGTCGAAGTTTTATTAGGAGGTGACAATAATAAAGCATTACGGACACCCATAAGTTAAAACAGGGAAATACATGCCGAGTGAAGTTTATGTTTACGAAAATCATATAAATTAGAAAAGTTACGTTTTATCATAAAAAAAAGCTTTTTGCTCGAAGATATTTTTCGATGAGATTGTTGATCCAAGATAACCAATCGATGTTAAAATATTTTAATAACATTGGTCTTCGGTAACTCACGGCTTCCGAATTGAACAGCACTAATATTAGAGTGTCTCTTTTAAAACGTGATGATTTACATCAGGCCGGCCTTGTAATGATTTAATAACAGTTTGTAATTCACTTGTGGAAGATAACCTAAATCATCTGTGTTAAGAAATTCATTTGAGATATTAACATTTACTGGTAAATACTTGATATGAATATAAAAAGAAGAGGACCTGAAACACTACCCTGCGCTGCATTACTGGTAATGACACCAGTCTCAGATAGCGTGTCATTGATTTTAACACGTTGCGTTCTTTTAATGTTAAATTCAACAGACAACGAAATTCCGCATCAAATCCCAAATTTTCATGGTTTTTCATTAAAATGTGTGACTCATTGTCAAAAGTTAAGATGATATGTTAAGATGTTGTGTAACTCATTGTCAAAAGTTAAGATGATATGTTAAGATGTTGTGTGACTCATTATCAAAAGCTTTACGAAAAGCAAAATAAACAGTTCAACAGGCTGTGCTTGCATCAAAATTTGAGTCTAAATAGTATATCAATTGCGTTGTTGTCGAACGTCTTGACATTAAACCTAGTTGTCGAACGTCTTGAGTAATCAAATTTGAATTCAGTTTTACGGTGAGGGACCAACCGTATAAAACCCAAGGATCGATTTAGGGGGGAGAAAATATCTATTCAAGTATAGCTAAATTATTAGTTTTATCCGAGAAAATTTATTGAAAAGACAAATTTAGGTAATGCTGTTACATTTGTGCGTTTGTTCGAAATGCATGCTGTATACAGAATTAATATTTAAAATCAATATGTGGCTGGGTTAACACATCGGTTGGTGACTTGGGGTGGGGGGGGGAGAGGGAGATGGGTGGGGAGATTGTACGGTTGATTCAGGTCGATTATTATGGTACTGTGCTCTATATGTGAAGCTTTTGAATTTGTCTTTATATTTAGTGCTGACAGCTTCAAGGGAGTGGTCACTCTATTCCAAAATTTAATCGTATCAGCGGTAAGGAAAAATGTCCACATCTTAATCAATTGAATCAATTTTTTGTTTTCATCCTAATTGACTTCACTGGATCTACCATTCATAGGATCTTCAAATCAAATTTCCCACATGCGCCCATACGTTGCGTGCCAATATCAGAGAAGACAGTCCCTGGAAAGTGCCGCAGGTTAGTGGTTTGTAGTAGTTTAGGGAATGGACGGAAGTTTTGCCAAAATATATGGCCGAGTCGCATTTTTTTTTCACATTTAGCTTTTTTTTATCATAGACTGTTCGTTTTGTGGTCGAACTTGTTTTCCCTATTGTTTAAATTGCTAAGGTGAAAGTATCGATGAAAGTGTAATAGTTTTGATAGCTGAAGAAAGAAAGAAAGAAAGAATTTATTTCTCCAAAGTTATAATAAAACATCAAAATAGCAACAACATCAAAATAATTAACTCGGAGAGGATAGAGGATAGCAAAAGGCACATTAAGCGCCCACTTACAGTCTACCCGGTTTACATCAACAATTCAGATTATTTAAACAAAATAATGATAAAAATGAAATATATTTTTGATTTTATGATATTTTCATTAAAAAGGCGATATTTCGGATATAATAAAACTATTGGGGGCAGTCCTTCTATTGAAGCACTGTCACCGTTGTTAGAGGATATATGTAATTGTGGAAGAAAAAAAACAGCGATATCTCGAAAACTACAACGATTTGGAGGCTCATATTTTCAGGGTATATTCGCAGCTCATATATGGTTGTCGTGTAGCATTTAACCACTGCATTGAAAAAAAGGGGAACGTTAATTAAAAATTTATTTAGTTAAATCGCAATTACCCAGAATAAAGCTATCCCTAAAATTGTGGATAAAAATTATTACCTCATTTTTAGTCATCTTTTCAATATTTTGGGGCAGTAAATTATTCTCGTTGAGTAAATTAAGTAATTTCGAACCTCGATTAGTCAGTGAATTTGCTTTAGTGTTATTCTTACAACAATGGGTAACAAATGAAGTATATTTGGATTTCCTTGTGTTGTAGCTGTAACGTTTCAAAGAAAACATTGTATTCAAAAAAAGAGTAGAATGTTTTTGATTCAAAGAACGAATGCAAAACTTTAACAGATCATAGATGTATAGCTCATGAACCGTTAAAATCTTATTATCTATCAGAGCTTCCGTTATGCTATCATATTTATTTTTGAAATAAATCATTCGATCAATTTTCCGTTGAAGAATTAATATTTGGTTTAAATTTGAAAAACTGGTTCCACCATAGACTAGTATGCCGTACTGTATTACAGGCTTAATATTCGACTGATAATACTTTAATAAAATGGACTTTGGAACATAATGACGCATCTTAGAAATAACACCGCAGTGCCTACCCAATTTTGTTTTAATTTTTTGAATATGATGAAAAAATGACAGTTTGCTGTCTAAAACAACTCCCAGATATTTACAGGAAGGTTCAGGCTTATACAGTTTCAAGTAATTTAATATCGATATTAGAAGCACTTCTATTTTTATTAAAATTAATTACAGTTGTTTTGTCAGTGTTTATTGTTAATTTATTTGCACACAGCCAGTTCGCGACGTTTGTCAAGTCATTTTGAAATATTTCGATGCTGGAGCTTCTGCTAGTGATATTAGTATCATCCGCAAATAGGAAAACATCGGAATGTGAAGTTATATCATTCAAATCATTGATATATATAAGGAATAGTAGAGGTCCTAGAATCGAACCCTGCGTTATTCCGGTTTTTATAGGTAACCAATCGGATGTATAAGCACTGATATGAACACATTGATGTCTTTCCGAGAGATAACTTTGAAACCAATGATAGCAATTTATTCCATATTTTTCCATTTTTGACAAAAGGATTTTATGATCAAGTGTATCAAAAGCTTTTTTCAGATCAATAAAAAGACTACAATTAATGATTTTATCATTGCCTAGCCGAATGCGTTCAGTCAATTCTGCTAAGGAATCTATTGTCGCATATTTTTCACGGAAACCAAACTGACGATCGTACAATAGGTCGAACTTTTCTAGATAATTGTATATAGGAGAGTGCATAAGTTTTTCAAAAACCTTGCTGATACTACTTAATAGTGCAATCGGACGATAGTTATTCATATCTGATCTACTTTCGGCTTTATGAAGCGGTAAGATTTTTGCCAGTTTAAGATTTTTTGGAAATATGCCCGAATTGAAAGACAAATTACATAAGTATGTAAGATATGGAGCTATGACATAGCAACTTCTAATCAGAAGCAAGTTACTGATCTCATCTATTCCACAAGTTTGTTTGGGTTTTAAATCGTTTATGGTATTTATTACTTCCACAAAAGAACAGTTGAAAAGGAAAATTGATTTATCGGAATCATGATTAGTCAAGATTTCATTCACCGGCTTTATTGAGTCAGCGAGTTTTTCGCCTATTGTGCCAAAATATTCATTAAAACAATTAGATATTGATATGATATCTGATGTATACTCACCATTAACCGATAGATTTGTAATACGGGATCTCTTTGTTGATTTACCTGTTACTTCATGAAGTACTTTAAATATTTGTCTCGAGTCTCCAATACATTTATTAAATCTGCTATAGTAATACTCTTTTTTGGTTACCCTTATTAGTTTTTCAACTTTATGACGCTCTTGAATAAATGCTTCTTTTTTCTTGGTATTCAATTTGTCATATTTCCATTCTTAATATAGTCGATTCCTTTTAAATCGAAATTTTGACCTTTTTATTAAACCATGGCGCGTTTGACTTAGTTTTTAATGTTTTATTTCGTATAAGAGCAAATAACTCTACCGATTCAAATAGACATTTATAAAATTCTTCATAAGCATCATCAATGTTATCATTATTTACAAGATTGGTTGTCTTCAGTTTTTGCTTCAGGACTTGGTTAAATCGGAAAGTGTTTTCTCTTTCATAAGAAACGACATATCGCGGTATGAATTATTTATATCGAAAAGCCTTTAACTGAAATCTGTTTGTAAAGTTACGGGATAGTGATCAGAAAAACATTCATTATCAAGCACTTTAATGATTGGGTTATCAATTTTTCGGGTTATGAAATGATCTAAACAAGATTCAGTCGATTCACATAACCTTGTTGTACTTTTAGCTAAGAGCTCAAAGCCATTAGCTGTTATTGAGTTTAAATATGATTGCTGGAGATTATTTAATCTGAGAGTGTTAATATTAAAATCACCTGCTAATACAATAGGTATATTCTTTTGAGCAAGTATTTCTAATTCTTTATCCAGTTCTTCGATTAACTTATTTTTATCATAACGAGGTGGTATGTAGGCTACAATTAGTATAATTTTATTGCAGGTAAGCTACATTCAAACCTATCAATTAGATTAACTTTTTCATCGAGTTGAATCATGGTCCCGCCGCCTCGTGTGTTTCTACTATTAGATATTACGGTTTGGAAGCCTTTGATTTTATACATATTAATATTATCGTTTTCATTTAATATTTTCGTTTCAGTTAGGAAAAGAATATTAATAGGAGACTCGAGACTACTTAGAAGTGCTTCTAAATCATCCTGGTGTTTTTTAATAGATCGAACATTAGATAATAGAAAATTAACATTAATACTAGCACCACTGAATTCATATTTTCTGTTTTCAAGGATCGCTTTGTCCATTTGAATTCCCGAAAACACAGTTAAAGCACCTTAACACGTTATCTATGCTGTAATCCAGAAAGTTGCCGCCCTCCCAAAGTCCATTGATCTTATAGATTCTTTGATCTTCCTTCCAGATAGAATATATAGTCCCTTCTCGTGTCCATGTTGATTGAATCCTTTCGTCTGTTTTCATAATACGTAAAAAGTTAACCCGCGCTGTGCTTAAATCTTCGAATATCTTTACATCACCAAATCCATTAATTTGAGATAAAGTTCGTTTTTTTGCGAAGAAGGTCAATCTTTTTGATTCGCCGCGAAAATCTGACAATCACAGGCTTGTCTCTGCCGGATCTGGTTGGCAGCCTGTGTGCAATGGAAATATCGGTATGGGTTATCTTTGCGTCAATTGCGTCTCGTTTTCCAAGTGCGTCCACTTGTTCTCGTTTTCCATCATTACTCAAGGTTTCTGACAGGCCTATGATCTTCACGTTATCTCTACGATTGTAGCTTTCTAATAGTTCCGCTTCTGATAGGGTTTTCAAAGCTTCTCTCTTTTCCAGCTTGGAAATCTCTTCTTTCGTCCATAACATCATTTCGTTTTTCAAGTTAGATAAGGCTGTTCCAATCGCCGTCTCAACAGCGCTCTTGATTTGTTCTTTTATGTTTTCGATCATCTTCGGCATTAACAAATTAACTGACTTAGTAATTGCATCTTCTTCCACTTGCTTCGAAATGTCTAGTTGTCCTGCACCATTATCTTCTGCGCAGGGACTGAGTTCAATAAAGGGTCTCTTGTTCGTTGAGCTGCAAATTGGTGTCTGACCATGATATTTTAGCGTGGAAATTTCGTCTTGAGGACCATCAACATCAACAGTTTTTATCTCCGTCTCTGAAACTATTTAATAAGTTTATCACAACAACAAGAAAGAAAGAAAGACGAAATTTCTCCAAAATATATAAACATACAATCAGAGCATCAAAACATCAAAAACTTGGAGAGGAAAGACAACGGAAGGAGAGGAAACTTGGAGAGGAAAGACAACGGGATCCTAGGATCCTCTAAGCGTCTGCCCCCACAGGCTGTAGTAATTAGATTTAAAAATTAAACGAAATAATCAATGAAAAAATAAAAAAAAATCTTTAAACTAGCTTTTTTTCGAAATTCACGAAATCGATTTCAAAACATGTGGCAAACTGTTGTTCACATCTATGTACCGCTTGCTCTTACTCTGCTTTTTTATGAGATGATCAGAATATTTTTTTGATAAAATTTTTCTTAGTTTTCTGAATTTTTTTTATTGAGAAAACTTCGAAAAAAGCTACAATTAGAAACCATTTTCACCTCACAATTTGATGTTTGCCTGGAACACTTTTTTTGTGAGACATTTCACATCGCCGCTAAGACATGGCCGTTTGGTTTCTATGTTATGGCCTGAACTAACAATTTGTAAACTTAATTCTTCAATTGGATGAACCTGTAAAGAATTTAAGCGCCGGAGAAATGTGCGAGTAAGCGCCGGAGAGTGTTGAGAAAAAATTTTGTATTACAGTTGCGAATTAATTTCGTGATGACCAATCAGATTTTTGTTTGTTCTGCTTGTGCAAATGCGAAAGTTCTGGAAGTAAAAAGGGTATTTTCACTTAAACCAAATATTTCCCTCAATTCGTTTGCGCCGTAATTTTGATGCGGATATATCGGCGTCGGCGCAGTGGATGTTTAGCCTGTTTTTGATTTTTGGTGAGTGATGTAGAGAGAATGCAGTGAATTGGTGTGTTGTGGTTTAGATTCAGGCATGTTCTAATCTTCTGACAAAGATGCTCACCATCCTCAGTCACCACACTTCAAATGCAATTACATACACACACGCCAGTCAGATCATTAAGGTAAGTTTATATGCAGTAACTGTAAATTCGGGTATGTAAATTCGTGAATTATTTAAACTTGATGAACGTGTTTCTATTTGACAAATCTGCAAATTGGTTGTTTTAGCTGCTCGATCAGCTGACGGGATTGCTGAATAGTGCACGCCACACCCTCGACCATCCTGCTCCCTTAGATATTGAAGCGATACTTCAGGACAGACAAAAAGTAACAACTACTATTCAACACCCAATCAAATAGATACTTATCCGGCCAAGTTAGATCGAATAAACAAAGTCGAGATTGAACCCATAATTCTGATTATTGGCGCGCGCTCAATAGAGAGCACAGTGGAAGCCCTACCCACCAAAACTCTGAAAACTGTCAAGAGGGTTCTGTCATTCAATTTGTGGACGTAAAACCCCTTAGAAACTAAATTAGCAAAACTTTTTTTTAAGTTAGCAGCTTGTCTCAATAAGTCGCTGCGCCATCTTTTCAACACGATTATTAACAAAGGCTGAAATCTGGAAAAGAAGTGACATATTCCCAATATACAAGAGTGGTGACAAACAATCAATTACTAATTATTGCCCAATAAGTATCCTTTACTCGGTTTCGAAAGACTATTTGACAAATAGTCTGCTGAAATACTTGGAAAACTCAATCAAAGTCAATTTGAATTTCTACCCAAAAGATCAACAAAAATTCAATGATAGATTTCCTCGACGAAATCTAAATAGCAAAGCTTATCACATATTGCCAGCATATACTGACTTAAAGAAAGCTTTTGACGAAGTAGAACATGGTTTTCTGATGAAGAAAGTATTATCATTTGGTATTGGTGGAAACGTCCGTAAATTAATTGATATGTGCCCAAGCAACGGGCACATATCAGCGACTTGCTAATTGCTATTAATGTAGTTCCTGGAGGATCCTTTTTAGGCCTTATACTGTTTTTCTGCTTAATCAATGATCTACCAACTGGCTTGAATTTCCTGATGATTACAAATTACTATCAACAAACCTATCAAAATTAACAAATGGATATGAAGTTACTCAGTAATTAGTGTGAAAATAACCAAATGAGTCTTACAAATTGTCATAATTGGGTGTTCAAATTAATTGTTGCTCCACACAAAGTCTGACTTGGTGTTCCACATCTGATCCACAAAAATTTTTTTATCACCGACGACAAAAATTTAGAACCTGGTTCTCAGAAAGATCTTGGAGTTCTGGTCCCAAAAACCCGTCTTCGAATGACAACTCTGAGCAACGGAGCATTTTATCACCGGAGCATTTTATCAAATAAAGAGAAGTTTATCTAAATAGGCATCTATGTCAACGAAACTAAATGTATCAGTGTACCAATTATATCATACGGATCTGAATTATGGAAGCCAAACAAAACAGAGCTCAAAACAATAGAAGAAGTGCAGAAAGCCACAAGATGAATCCTCAGTTGTTTAACAAACTCTTGCGAACAAAGACTCGAATTCGTTCACTGCCGATCTCCTTGTATCATGAAATGCACCATCTGATATTCTTTCTTAAAGTTGTGAATAACAAATACCACTCCAATATCTACAAGCATGTGACGCCATGCACTTAAATATGTTCGTTCCATATCGCCGAATTAAAAGGAAACAAAACCAAAAAAATTTTTTGGCAGAGATTGATTTTTCTGTTCAACAAACTCGCAGCGTATCTTGGAACAGACTTAGTACTGTTATTTTAATAGTTTAAAAGAAACTCACCCATTTTTAGTTCGCCCACTTAAAATGAAACTAATCCAAATTTTTTTTTGGTATAGTGCTTTGTGTTCATCAAACTCGGCGCGTATCTTGAAATTGACTTGACAGTAGTGAACTATAAAAGTTTAAAAAAACTCACGGAGATATACTAGAAGGCCTATTTGTGAACATCGTGAATCAATTGTGCTAGCAAATGCTGCATGAACTAAAAAATACTTAGATATCAGCTAAAATTGCTGAAAACTGAGAACTCTAAATCCTTTGATCCATGTCCAGAATGCTTTATTTTTATGATTGTTTTTATTCTGTTAACCAAAATAATCAAAGGATGTTGTTTTTACTTGAAAAATTTTATAGATATCATTGATACAGATAACATGCTTGAGATGGTGGCAAATATTTGCTACCTTTTGTTTTAATAAACAGGGACGTCGCTTTTCAATCAAAATAGATTTTAGTGTGAATAGTGCTTTGTGGGCTCATAAAGAAAAACTTATGGGCTCATAATGCTTCGTATCGCGCGAAGTTTTGGCGCAAAAATTTGTTGAACCAGGCAAGCTTTTTGTTGTAGGAATGTGTTGATATTCACAAATAAAAATGCTCGATTGTTGGCACAGATGCTGCTTAGCTTTGGCAAATTCTTAGAACATGTGGTATCTGCTTTCTTATCTATCTATATCTATCTATCTATACTATATTTAAATGCTAGTGACAGCTATCTCCCATGTTTAAGCTTAATAATTTTGCATGTTTAACGAAAGAATTTTTTCATGTTTAAGCTATATCATATATTGCAATGCTTAAGAAATTTTTTCAATTAGTTTTCCGCAAGGTCATTACTTTTTCATTAATTTTTTTCGAGGTCAAATTAAGTCTGTCTGTCTGTGTAGCTGTTTTTTAATTAATTTGATTATGTCTGTCTACCCGTCTCCTAATTTTTTAACTTGCAATTTGGTTTCGACGATTCAGTTCAAAGTAGTACTAATGTCAAACGGTTGTCTACAATCTTTCTATCTCTTTATCTTTATCTGGAGTTTCTATCTTTTTTTCTGTCTTTTTTTCGATCTATTTTATCTTTTTTTCGACCCTTCTTTTTAGATATTATTCCATTTTTTAAATTCTCTATCTTCCTTTTTCTATCTTTCTTTTTCGAAAGATTTTTTTTTGTATATCTTTTTTTTTCGATCTCTTTCTTTTTTATCTTCTGTCTTTTTTTCGGTCCTTCTTTTTCGATCTTATCTTTTTTGAATTATTTTCTTTCTGTTTTTTTGCCTTTTTTCTATCTTTTTTGTCTTTATCTTTTTCTTCTATCTTTTTTTTATCTTTTATATCACTTTTTTTAAATCACCTGCCTCCAATCATGACTTCTTAAATCCTTGTAGGTTCTGAGTTGATGTTTTTGTGATTTAAAAATAATTAAATTAATTTTAAACTCCTTATCCTGTAGTTGGGTGCTGTCAGGGTACTCTCAGGGATTGCAAATCTTGCTTCCAAATATGACTGCTCAAATCCTTGTAGCTTTCGAGATATGACGTTTTCAGATTTTTTTCAAAAATTTTCAGAAAACAACAATTTTTTTCCTTGAAAATTTGAAATACCCAACCCTGTAGTTGGGGGCTATCAGATTACTTTCAGGGGATTCCCAACCTGGCTTCTTCCGTTTATGACTGCTCAAAACCTTTTGTGATTTTTTCAAAAAATTTTCAGAAAACCCAAACAATTTTTTTCAAAAAAAATTGAAATTCCCAACCTTGTAGTTGGGGGCTATTAGAGTGCTCTCAGGGGTTGCGAGCCTTGCATTTTATTAGGATTGTTTAAATCTTTGTAGTTTTCCAGATATGACGCTTTTTGTGATTTTTTCAAAAAATTTTCACAAAACTTAAACGAATTTTTTCTTCAAAACTTGAAACACTCAACCCTGTATTTGGGGGCTATCAGAGTACTCTCATGGGATGCGAACCTTACCTCCAATTCTGACTGCTCAAACCCTTGTAGTTTTCGAGATATGACGTTTTTTGTGATTTTTTCAAAAAAATTTGATTTTTGTTTTCAAATATTGAATTTCTTTGCCCTGTAGTTGGATGCTGTCTGGGTACTCATAGGGGTTGCAAATCTTGCCTTCAATTTTGACTGCTCGAATCTTTGTAGTTTTCGAGATATCAGGCGTTTCATGATTTTTTCAAACTTTTGAGTTAACTTAAATTTAGAAAAAATTCACTAAATTTAAATATCCCAACCCTGTAATTGAGTGCTGCCAGGGTACTCTCAGGAGTTGTAAATCGTGCCTCAAAAAATGACTACCCAAATCTTTGTACTTTTCGAGATTCGACATTTTCGAGATTTGACGGAAAATAGGAATTGAAAAAAATTTTTAAATATGAAATTAGCAACAATGTAATTGGGTGCTTTCAGAGTACACGAAAAGCCTGTAGATCTGGTTTCCAATATATGCCGTTTTTCATGAGTCGGTGAAAAATTCGAAGCATCGGCGGTGCGTTACACGCTAGTTGTTTTTAGTCTACCAGCCCGGAAGCGTAACCAGGTATTAATTAATTAACTTGACAAGAGAGCATATAACCAGCACCCGTTAAGCTCTGACTAACTTGCAGAAACTCAGCTTAAAAATTGAAGCGCACGTACAGTTTGTACCCACAATCATGTGATTGCTAGACACCATCACTACTGGAGCGACAAAATGCCACAAATTGGTAGCTAATATTTGCCCTTTGTCGAGAGACTATGGCGCATATAGGGACCGTGAAACTCAAGATCTGCAGATTGGAAGATCGATTCCTGCTCATAGTAAAACTGAGTTTTCACGAATAATTTTTACCTTCTCTTTCCTGATTTGACTTACTTTTAGGAGCTATTTTTCGCCGGTTTTTGCTTGCGTTTTCAAAGCGCAGCTTCGCCTGTGTAGAAAACTTTCATGTTTCACATAGGTGAATTTTTTTACTCTGGGAGTTTGCAGATAATGAAGCGACCATTGCGTAGATGCTAGGACAAAACTCACAATTTCCATGTCGGCAGTTCAGTTTCAGTGCATATCATAAATTTGATTTTCGTGTTTTTACTATTTTTCATATATCCTTTTTGTACTTTTGACAATTTTTCCAAATCAGTTTTTTGGGCCTTTCAGTGCATTTCAGTCTCGACATGTAAATGGGGAGAAAATGGGATTATATTTTGTTTTCAAAATTTTTTCAAGTTTCAATCAATCTATTTGGGCGTACCATGACCTATGAAATTTTTCATAATTGAAACGAACTGTATAATAAGCGTTTTCGGTCTGTGGAAGTCTACCCAGGAGCTAATTTCAGCATCATTTGTTCAAGTGTTGTTGAGCGCACCATTATTGAGTGAGTTTGAATTCAACCCACGCTTACCGACTTGGTTCAACCAACTTTAGCGGTCTGAGAGTTCATCGAATTTTAAACTCTTAGTATGAAACTTAAGGAGAGTGATTGTGTGAATTTA